TCCTTCCCTGTTCCCAGCCCCCCACCCTACTCAAAAGTGAGGGAGAACACCGAGTGTCAGATTCTTCAGTGGCATTTTATACCAGAGCAGAAAGACAGATGTTTTGGTGCTTTTTTTCCCCCTCTACAATCTGGGCAGTCAGTCTCTTCGCTAAGCTGTTCACCCTTACTATTAAAATTGATTTGCACAACAGTATGTTGCAGCCAAAGCAAACATGGCAGTCATTAAAGAGTAGGTTGCTCACACATGTTTCTGTACTTAGCCAAGTCAACTACTGATGAATGGGTCGTCTTTTGTCAAGCAACCGTAACGAACTGGTAAAGAAATAATTTGTGGTTCAGGAACAGCCATGTTGACAGGTAGGCCTTCTCCTCTCCTTTTACGTTCCAAAAGCTCTGTGCTCTGTCAGCTGGTCTTCAACCAGTCTCTCATTAGAGAAAATCACGAACACGTCCGTAATCCACGGCTTACGCCACGGAACAATTAAAAACTTTACAAAGAAAATGTATATTGAAGCAGTGGCACTGCAAGTTAAATCGTATTCAACAAATCAAACACAGGCAAGACCAACAGTTCAGCAAGAGATCAAGTCAGAGTCAGAAATGTAATGTGAAAAAAAAATCAATGTAACAGAGTAATTCTAAAAATATTGCAGATCACTTCTTAAAAGTCAAGATGCTTTCAAATATCACACTTCCCCTATTAGCTCTCTCACTGTCCTCAGCTCCCTTTATTTTGCTTTAATCAGCTCAGCATGGTCAACTTCACGATTTCCTTGCAGATATTCTTGCACTCAAGGTTATCGCTTTTTCTGGGTTAAAACCAAAGCAAAACAAACCACAAAAACCTCCACAAGAAACTGTAAAGCAAACAAACAAAACCCCAAACAATCAAAAAAAAATCAACTTCTCTTCATGAGATGTCTTGAAAGGTGCTAGATGAGGAAACTACATATGATCTTAAAATTACAATAATGACAAAAATCTTAAGTCTTCGTATTGGTCATCACTTTGAGCTCTGCAGAAGACTGCAAAAAAAATCATTATCACAAAGTTCTCACATGAGAGCAGCTTCAAAGAGCCTCATCTAGGTCCAGGTTGCATTTTACTGAGTAACAAATGAAGAGCTATAAAGGAAAAATCTTGCCAATAGACAGGGAGTGGCCATATCACACGAAAATGATACCTGATACATTAGAAATATGGTGCCAAATTCCTACCTCCATTCATAGTTTCAACAGCCAAAAGACCAAATGACATTCATGGAAGAAATATTCTTTGTCAGGAACTGCCTGGAAATTATACTGCAGCCCATACTGAGCAATCTTGGAGGCTTTGGAATGTCTCACACCAAGAACAAGAAATGAGGAGTGATGCTCAGCCCTCCTCTAGACCTGTAAGACTGCAGAACCTGCTATTCAGCATTCTCAGATTTAGAGCTGGAAATATTCTAGCCCTGGAAATATTACTCCAGTGCCTTTAGTACACAGGAATCTGCATTGCTGGAAACATTCTGCTGAAAGCTGTAAACTGAGAGAAGCTTACGAAGACCTGGACAAATGAGGAAGGATGTTCACAGAGAGATGGACACCAAAGCGAATGTGAAGATTTAGTCCTCAAACTTGATATAAACACAAGGTCTCATCTCCAAAGAAACACTTTTTCAAACAGTGACAAACTGATCTTCAGTCCTCAAAGTTAAGGGAAAAGTCTGGTCCATTCTTGCAGAAGTTATCCAAAAAACAAGATGCCTTAGTTAACAGGTAACAGAGAGAAGCGCTGCCCTAAGCACTTGGAGTTTGGTGTAATTAAAAGCTGGAAAGAAATTAATTATAAGAAGTGAATAGATACATCAAACTCATTCAAAAAAGTATCACTGTCATGTCCCTTCGCAGTTCATGAAGCACTATTAAACACAAACCGAGCAAACTTGAGTTCTCTCTGCAAGTTTCCTAAATCTTGCATTTTTCACCTCAAAATAGCCATGCTGATGTACCACTGATGACCACAGGGGTGAAAGCTGCAGGACCAGGACACTAGACTTCATTTCTAGGTCCAAGAGGCTTGTATTTTGTCCGAGGATGCACAGCTCAGAGAACATCCATAATCCTATCAGCCGCGTTTCATGAGAATGCAATTAAAAAGAATTATTTGCCTTTTTAAAAGTCCTGTTTCCAAGAAGTGAATAACCTCATAACAAATTCTACTGGAGAAGTAAAGGTATCTGTTGTTATATAGGTTTCCAAAGCTATGACTGCTCAGGAGTTAATCACAGCACACAAACGCTCTACTCCTTCCTTTGGATGCACATGTGCTCATGGAAGAACGAGCTGGATGCACTGGCACATAAGCACTTCCTCTGTCCTGCCTACGTTCTATCAGTTCACGAAACAGATTTAATTTGCTGTTTCCTCCAAAGAAATTTACCTTAGGAATTTTGCTTTTAACAATAGGCGTCTCTTGTATATATACACACACATAAATGACAGCTCTTTAATGATGCTAGGTCAGACAAATGCTTTTTCTACAAACACAGTGCAGGAAAAATGTCCTTGAGTACCTCAGCTACAAAATGCCAATAAATTGAATTTATGTCTCATTTAATCTACAATGGAACAGTAAGTACTTAAAGGGTACATACACTTCCCCTAATCCCTTTCCTCCTGACAAACTTTCAGATGCTGAAAATCAATTCCTTTTGTCTCCTTGTTATTCATCTGCTACACATTAAGGAGAAACTCTGGGCATTCAGTGATCCCACAATGGTCTTTCATCTCCAGAGAAGCCTGGTATGAATTAAAATCTTATGCTCCCTCAAATTATGGTTGCATACTCCAGCATGCCACTGACTTATCTGCTCATGATTTTTGCCAGTTTTCTCAGCATGCTGCAGCTAGCTTATTTGCATCTTCCAAATTAAGTGACATTTCTACAATGCTGCCCATCCAGCCCATGAAAAGTGCTTTGACATTAGTGTACACAAATGTATGTCCCTACAGCAGGTACTGCTATCTACTCTTTTTTTCCAGCTCCCTGCCATGTAGAACTTATATCATATTAAAAACTGGTTTTACTATAGTCAAGATCTTAGTACAAGAACAATAAATAGTTCATGGAAGTAATGTTCTTTCATTTCAGTGGCCTTGAGAGATGAAGATTATATACAAATAATTATTAACTGACATAATTTCTTTGTCATGTCTGTTTTTAAGGGCAGTTTAAACCTAGGACTTTGTTTTCCTGTAACACGTAAAATTTAATTGCTATCTAGGCTGCTGCAGCACTGGTCAAATACATGCTGCTCTTTCAGTCTGCTGGGACTGAAATACATGGGACTCGTCAAAAATACATGCTGCTCTTCCAGCTAGCTGTATTGCTGGGTGTGGGTGTCCTGTACCATAGCAACTCCAGGCTTCCACTCCCAGGTCTAGCAGTAAATCAAGGCTTCATATACTTATTCTTGTTTTAATCTTTGTTGCTCTTTCAGTCTATTTTTCCTCCTTTGAAATGCTGTTTACCCACTTCTGAACTCTCAAATATTTCCTCCAGCCAAAGAAGCACATTCAAAATAAGAAAGTACTTGAAAATCTGCATTCACATTCTGTCCTACAGAAACCACCATCTTTTGCTAATCACTTCTTTATCAGTGATTTGGATGAGGGGGTCAAGGGGCCCTCAGTAAATTTACTGGCAACACCAAGTTGGGTGGATGTGTTGATCTGCTTGAGGGTAGGGAGGCTATACAGAGGGATCTAGACAGCCTGGACTGACGGGCAGAGGGCAGTGGGATGAGGCTCAACAAGGTCAAGTGCTCAGTCCTGCATCATGAAATGCTACAGGTTTGGAGAACAGTGGCTGGAAAGCTACCTAGCTGAAAAGGACCTGGGGGTATTGGCTGACAGCCGGCAGAATATGAGCCAGCAGTGTGCCCAGGTGGCCAAGAAGGCCAACAGCATCCTGGCTTGTATCAGAAATAGGGTGGCCAGCAAGACTAGGGAAGTGAATATGCCCTAGTATTTGGCACTGGTGAGGCTGCACCTTGAATACTGGGTTCAGTTTTGGGCCCCTTGCTACGGGAAGGACATTGAGGTGCTGGAAAGTGTCCAAAGAAGGGCAACAAAGCTGGTGAAGGATCTAGAGAATAAGTCTTATGTGGAGACGGTGAGGAAACTTTTCTTTTTTTCAGCCTGGAGAAAAGGAAGCTCAAGGGAGACCTTATCACCCCCTACAACTACCTGAAAGGAGGCTATAAGCAAGGTGGGGGTCAGTCTCTTCTCCCATGTAACAAGCAATAGGACAAAAAGAAATGGCCTCAAGTTGTGCCAGGGAAGTTTAGATTGCATATTAGGTCACAGGAAGGGTTGTAAAGCACTGGAACAGGCTGCCCAAGGAAGTAGTGGAGTCACCACCCCTGAGGGCATTTAAAAGACATGTGGGTATTTAAAAGATTTGGCACTTAGGGACATGGTTTACTGGTGACCTGGTAGTGTTGGGTCAATGGCTGGACTTGATGGTCTTAAAGGTCTCTTCCAACCAAAATGATTCTATGATTCCGTTATTCTACACTTTCCTCAGACAAGCTTTTAGACACCTTGCTCTGTAATCTCTTAGATGTTTTTTTTTTTAAATTAGATTTTAGTGCGAAATGCTCTCCACTAACCAATCTTGTTATCTATGCAATGCGGTAGTTTGAAGAACTCTAAAAGAAAGTTGCTGAAAAGCTAAATTAGAAGAGAAATGCCTGCATTATACATAACCCTGAACAGCAGTTAAAAGGTGAGAGCATAGCCCAAGTTCACTAGCTATTTTGGGCTCAGACAACAACACAGCCAAGAAAATTTGGAACACCGCAGGCGTCTGAAATACGCGTCCAAAGCAACTGCGCAGGCGGTTAATAACCCAGTTCCCACGTGACACATACGGCCTGTGTCGGGCGAAAGGCAGCTCAGACACTCCCCTGGCCTGCAGCTGCAGGTGAGGGCCGCCCAGCCAAGCGCTCACCTCGCTCGAATCCTCCTGCTGATTGATGACGGCCAGCGCGTCCTCCGCGGCCTGCCGCTTGGCTTCGGCCACCGTGCGCTCCATCTTGGCCCGCTCGGAAGTGATCATGTCGTGAGCCTTCCGCTCCGCTTCTGACACGGCCTTCTGCAGCTCGGCCATCGCCTGGCGCTTCACTTCATTGACAGCTTCTTCTGCAAGGGCAAGGGAGGGAGGACACCGCCATCAGCACGGGACATGTGGCACAGGGCTATGCAGGACTGCGTGTCAACTGCGGCAGAGACTCCTACTCTATTGAGTCTCCACATTCAGTAGAAGGACACAGAGGAGTCTGGTCCCTCAGGACTCTTCAAGACCACCCAAGCACTTCTTGACTTCCCCATCACTAAAGTCTCTAACTAACACTTGTGATGATTCTTGCTATTTTGTTTCACAGTCAGCACTTCCCTAAGTACAGATATTTCAGATTTCTGGTGCATTATTTTTGTTATCTTTTTGAATATTTTACGTGGAAAACTGTTCTTGCAGCACTACATTTATGAATATGTTTGGCAAGAACTATTATTTGAGACATAATATTACAGAATTTTTAAAAAATGTATCTTTCAGTTCTGGAAATCAGGACAGGATTTATAGTCATTCACGTGTTTTTTTCCTGGTATATTAGTGAATAAATACATGAAATGTAAAATAAATTTTAAAAAAAAAGCAAAAAAAACCCAAAACAAAACATAAGCAACAGCAAAAGTTTATTTAAAAATTTAAAATTACTGGTCTAATATCTTTTCCTGGACACACAATTTTACGAGCCAAAATTAAAAATTTGTTTATGAACATTCATTTGACCTCTTGATCTCTCTTTCAAACCTGTGTTTACACTGTGAAGACTCGACTTCCTGGCTCCACCGAGCTCTTGGGCAGACCACAGCCAGCAAAGCTTCAATGCACAATTAACACTGAGCAGGGGCACTTTGCTTCATTGAATTCAAACCTTCATGCTTCTTGTAACATATCTAACTCAGTATGAGCTGTTTCTTTAGTATATACTAGCATCCTACCTTTCATTCCCTAAAACACGGATTGTCACAAATTAGTTATTTGGGGTTGATGCAGGAAGAGTGCAGATTTTACTAATGAACAGTCTTAATTGACAACTAAAACAAGTAATTTCTTCTTTTTTTTTTAATTAACTGCTCTAATTAACAAGGAAACCATCCTCCCCCTGAATTAGTTTATCTAATTTTCATCTTTATTCAAAGCAAAATGACAATGATTAATTGAAAACTTAATAAGCAGTAATTATTAGCTTGGCAAACCTAGTACCAATTAACACTCTATTAAAACTAATTATGACATGTTTCATTCAAGTGTTTGTACTTAATTGTTTCATCCACTTAAAAACCACCTTAATTAAATGTTCTATTTAATTAAAAACATAGATTTCTAATAAAAAATGTTTTACTGTAGATCAGAATCCAAGTATTACAACTGTGCTACAGGTTTGAGGTTTAGTCCATGTATTTAGCCCATGTATTTGTGTGCAAGCACATGCACATGGTCCTAACTCTTACGCACAGATACCAAATTAATAATTATCTTGAGTTATGTCTCATAGCTCTATACTCGTTATTTTAAAAAAAAATTACTACATGAAGTCTATATCTTCAGTTATTAAGCAAATTACAACAAAGTCTTAACTCATGCACTGACTAAAATGGAATTAATTAAAATGAAAGAAGAGTTCTCTTACTCTATGTGTGTGTACTACATGTGTGCATGTCTGCTAGAGATGTTTCAGCTGAAGTTTTTGGGGGTGGGGAGGACAACTGTATGCATGGGGGGTGGATGTGTGTGTGGAATTTTGAGATAAAACTTATGCCATTATTTTTATGAGACTGAAAATATGCCCTTATATTACCCTGCCATAAATGTTGTTTAGGGGAAAGCCTCAGGAGAGGAAAAAATCGTACCCTTCAAACATACAGCCAAGGCTTAATTTACTTTGAATATTCAAGGTGAATTAAAATTCTATCTAAGTGGCAATACAGGACAATAATTTTTCCTTACGATCAAAGCTGCAGCTAGACTAATTGTATATGCAAATCAGGCAATTTATATTTAAATTATGCATTCCTATTCTAGTCCCATAGGCATGCACAGATCAGCAAAGGGAATTGGTAGGACATTTGCAAGGTGTTTGAATATTTATTACCAACTGCAAACATTCACTGATCGCAAGAAAAGAAATATACACAGGCAAACATACAGATGCAATTTTATTACCATTTTCATAAAAATGAGGCAACTTAAATACAGACGTTTTGCATCTATGAACTGCAGTTACTAATAAGTGGATTTCTTTGAGAAAAATCTGTGTTCTTGCTGATATTTGCTACACATTGAAATTATCTTTGTATGGCACGATGCACTTTCATTACATCATATAAATTTAGTTTTATGTTGAGGCGTTTGCGGTGATTAGAAACGCCAGTTTGAACTATTACATGAAACAGAAGCACAATGCTTCAACATTTTACAGAGACTTCTAATTTTCTGGTTTATCATCCTACATAATCTACCTCTTTTCAGTCCACATATAGAAATTGAACCTTATATTCTACCTTCTATATTGCATAAGTTTTCTTAAAATCTTCTGAGAGTATGGAGATGCTGCAAATGCTTATGAAGACATATGCTTGACTGATACTTTTTAATTGGCATAAACTATGGATTGGACGTCAATATTTCCATTACCTCTGACAACACAATTTGTGTTGTGCTATACTAAGTGTGAAAACATCTAGCTAAAATATCATTGGTGGTTTTCTGTCACAATGCATCACCATTATTTTACTATATTATGAACTCATGAACACCTCAATAAACTATACAATGTTTCATATCACTTATTTTCTGCACTTTTTCTCAAAATAAATGTGTCCACTGCCTACAGATATTTTATAGACATAGAATACAGGCTTAGTAGTTTCAGGTGATGACAAAAACCATAATAACTGTGCAGGAAAAGTTATGGGCGACAGTGAAGAAGACTTTATTTGTTTTGACAGTGCTGAGCTATGAAGACCAAGAATGATACCAGCACTCTTCCTTTCTCTGCATTTCCAGAGAAAAGAAGAGTGATTACACTCCAATATCAGAAAACCCAAATCCAGAAGCTTGTAAAACCAAGTATCTAAGATGCATGTATCTGCATCCTTCCTCTTCCAATAATGCGAAGCATTTTTGCATAAACTCACTCTGTCATTTTAAGGATTCAGCTGAAATCTCCCTTCCCTTTGAGTAGCACTAAATCACGAGAGAAACTCCAGGGAAGAAGCAGGCTTTGTGGAATAGGCATTACTCAGTGTGATCACAGGTCCTCGAAGCTGGCTCAGGAGAGATACTAAGCTCATCATTCACTGCTGCATATAAACCGACAGTATGATTCACTAGCCAGCTCCTGGTCACCACCCTCATACCATGGGCACACTCAGTCCACACAAGGAGAAAACAAAGGTGTTGGGCAGGGCCACAGTCCTGTGCCACCATGGCATTTTGCACCACCTCACTCTCAGGCTGAACCTGGCAAAGAAGGCCACTGGCAGTTAGCGACATGAGTTATCTCAGCTTTATATCTCCAAATGTACCATCTCTTTCTCCAGACTACCCTGAAGAATGTGCAGGGGCCCTACTGTGTTAGTTTGACAAAGTATGGTCATCTGACACCTGTTTGGTAGCTCTTGAGCTTCTACCTGGACTGCCATGAACTGGCCTTGTTAAGTGATAGGGGATGGCTGGGAGAGTTTCCTCAGGACACAAAAAGAAGCTAAGGCAGCAGCCCACAGTGCGCCTGGGATCCTCTCAGTACTTCATAAAAAGAAATAGGTATTTCCAGAGAGCGAGTCATCCAACCTATGATCTGACTGACCCTCTTCACGTGCCTGCCTCTCTCTTGACTACTGAGGGTCAAAAAGAACTTGGCTTGGACTCTTCATCTACATAACTGTACTTCAATAAGGTTAATCAGGGCACTGATGACTCTTTTTCTCCAATAATCACAAAATCATGTACTAAATGTGCCATATTTCAGGAACTGAGCTAGAGTTTATCAGGCTCCAAAATTTTAAACTGAATCTCTTTTGCAAGTGCTTTTGAGGTTGCTTATTAACCGTTTTTATGCCAGATTCTTTCAGGTCAGTGAATTCAACATCCCAGACTTCTATCCTTGATTCAGCTGTCTACACATTGGTTTTTATGGACATTTGAGATACCAAGATATCCACATTCAGGCAGCAGAAATTATCTGTGAGAGGTCTGTGAGGAAAAACTTTGTTTCAAAGGAACTGGTGAAATACATCTTCACAAGACGACGTCACAACTCCTGTACACTACCATTTGCGGATATACTCAATGTGAATGCACATCCAATCTTATAACTCATGTCACAAGCTTCAATTAAGTTGTGTTGCTAGTATATGAAGAAACTTTTTATTTTATTCCATCCAGGACTCATAAATGACCTGATGTCCCCAGTGACATCAAAACATAGATTTTGCAAGAGGAACAAAGTTCTTGAAATTCAACTGAAAAATGTTCCTTTTACAGACATTTCCTGGGACTGCATATTTCCTCTTATTTTTCGTTTAAGATGTTAACATAAATAGGGCAAGACAAACTACAAAAATACTTTTGGGCATTGAGTTACAAAGGCTACACTTTCCTTGGACAAAAGAAAAAGATGGAGATTATTTTGTTTTTTTTCATCAAAAATGCAATAATTAAAATAATAACTAACATATTGTCAAAAGTAGATTTTGCATGACAAACCCACATCACACAAAGCCCACAGCTTCTTGTCTGATGCATTGATATGCCAGCATGACATTTTAAGATGTTATGTTCTGTATCTAGTGATGTGGTGCTCAGGGCATGCTTTAGTAATGACCTGGCAGTGTTGGGTTAACTGCTGGATTTGATGATCTTAAAGGTCTCTTCCAACCAAAACAGTTCAATGACTCTATAATTTACAATATATGAAAAAGCAGCAAGCAGTTAGAGACAATTTGATCAGAAAGCATCAAACCTGCTGCATATTTGCCATATAATCATTAACTCCTACTCAGACAGCTGCTGTAGGCTTCATAGTTATACAGGTGTTTAAAAGGGGGGGGTGTGTTTGAATGTATATACAGAAACTCAACTGCCTCACTGGAGTTCAAGAGCTACCTCCTGGCTCCTCTGAAAACAAGGAAGCTCTGCTACCAATGTCAAAGGAGCAAAGGTTTAGCTCCAGCACTGCAATGGGGTCCTTGCCCGGCAACTCCTGTGCTCAGGCAGAGTTTCAAAGTGCCGAAGAAAACTCTGCACAAGCACAATTGCCTGCCCATGGTGCTTTCCAGCTCGGAGCAGATGTTGTCACTGCCCATGCAACCACCCAGAGCAGCCACAGAGATACATTCTTGCTCACTTCATTTAAAACTTTGCAGGTTAGTGAGCACAGACTTCGCTGGGGGCTGACAGGCACAAAATCTTTTTAAAATTGAGAATGGTTACTTTGAAAAGCTGAAGACTTTTCTTTAACAGGTATACTTAGTTTTTTTTCCCTCTACGTTGGAAATTCTTACCTTAAGTAGGTAAGAACCTTGAAGCTTAAAAAAAATCCCACACAAACTTTTTTTTTTTTTTTTAAATTGCTAACAGACTGAAACTTCAACATACCAAGTTTCAGCCTGAAACCATGATAACCCCTGAAAACAGGGGTCCTTAATGGAAGTACTGATACCCCCTAACTATAGTAGAAGATGCTTCTATGATAAAGATTATTTCATGTCCTGATCAGTTCCAGTTCAAAATTATTAAACACAATTTAGTGTTGTTACTAGTAAGCCCCTTTTTTCCTTTCATTTTTTTCATTCCTCACATCAGTGCATTAACAACTGCACACAGCTGCCAGAAGACTAAGCTGGTGTTTTTAAACAGCTCTTACCAGCTTTTTTCCAGATCTCCTCTGGCACGTATCCAGATGCAGGCCTGTGAAGGAATTCCCGATGCGATTCTGCAGGAGGAGGGGGAGTGGAGGGAAAAAGAAAAGAGCATCATAAGCAATGCTTGCTTGTAGAGAACAAGGCTTAGAGAAATACCTTTTCTCTTTACTTACTGCTCAGACAAAAAATCATGTGAAGTTTGTCTTCACTCAAAATAAAACAGATGCCATGGCCACAGCTCATGAACATCCCATAGACAAGATCAGTGTGTAGGACTCGAATGTCTCATCTTAAGCCAAGCTCAGACTAGTTTGCTTTATTTTTATTTTACAGTGTTCCAAGTCAACTCTGTATGACAGTTTCCACATTTTTATGGCTGGCTTTGCGAGACCAACTGAGGGAGTGATGTGCTTCATCCATTGTCATTACATTTATGAAAAGGAAGACGAAAGAAGGCAACAGTCCAGTTTGGCACTTCTGCTCTGCAGAAACAGAATGGCTACTGACGAGCAGAGATAAAAGCCAAGATGTCATTCCAGTGATCAAATAAGTTGTCCACAGAAAAAGAAAGGGGTGTTTCTCTAAGTTCAGACTTATGCTATGCTATATCTGAGCCCATGTTGGAAACTGTAGCTGCAGAAGTTTGAAAAACAGAACCTTTAACTTTAGGTTAAGACCCTAAATACATATGTTGCCAAAAAATTTCACTGGAGCTGAAGCTCGGAATTCACCCATATATTTCAATCACATTTTGACAGCTCTTTCCTCCCCTCCTCTTTTTTAAAGGTTTTAACCTCTGGGCCTGAGCCTAAGAGCTCTGAAATCAGCAAGATCCCTTCTACAAGGACTTCAAAGACGCAAGATCAGGCAATAAAGAAAGAAAATACACTTTGGCCTGAAATGTAACATACAGATTCTCAGCAGATGAAAAGCTGCTCTTTTCAAATACAATATTAAAATGATTAACTATGTTTCAAAGTAACAGGGGAGAAATTTAAAAAAATAAAAAATAAAAAAAAAATTAAAAAAACCCCACACATAAAGGTAAGTTCATTGCCATGATTACTATTGCCTGTGTAATAGAACTCAAACACGAAACTAAAATAAATTGATTTATTACATTAGAGACAAGGTTTGAATCTTCCCAGAGATGTTCCTAGAAATTAAACATCCTGTTTGATGTCTGAGCTTGAAACATAAGAAAAGCACATGTCATCCTTCGAATACTGATTTTTACTAAATACATTCATTTTTGTATCTTAAAGTTATTATTCAGTAACCTGGTCAAAAAGTAGTATTCTTAAGAAAAATGTGAGAATCATTAAGTTTCGCAAATAATTTTTAAGACCACCATACATATGCAAGCAGTACTCTTCAGATACAGTAGGCTACAGAAACAGATACATTTAAAAGATGACATTTAATCGCAGACAGCTAACAAAGGTGGAAATGAGAGGGGCCGTTTCAGCTATGCAGAGTAGGGAATCCCAAGCCCTGCACACTGTTCTACAGATGCAGTTTCTAACACATGAATCTGCAGACAGAGGTGGGGTGGACTGAATCCTCCCATCTGACAGACATCTGAGTGGATTTCCCCAGCTCTTCTGTTTGTCGCTAAGGTATGGGATGAAAATAAAATGGATTTTTGTAAGAAGAACATCACAACCCTCAAGCATAAAGTGATGGGGGGTGGGTGTGCAAGACTCTGCAAAACAGCTATTTACATTGGTTTAATCTGCTTAAATAAAGGACTTCAGACCTGATGCTGAAAATTTGAAAATTCTCAGGATCGCTTGGCTTGTATGATCTGGAGATGACAAATATATCATTGTGTACACTTCTCTCATCCCTCGGATGCTTTTAGACTTACAGGCACAGTGCCAGTTCAGTCAGGGACACAGGCAGGAGAAGAAAACATTGCTGGAAAGCTCAGGAAAACAAACGCAAAAAATCAAAACACTCTTATTTTCTCTTCCTGCAATACCTGCAGCAAAAGACTCAGCCAGACTTCAAATGAGGCAAATGAAGGGGTTTGTTGCATTCATGTCTTATACTGTGTTAAGTTTTTCTCTTTTCTATTTAAGGCACCATCCACTGCAAGGAGATCATAACCTTGGCTTAAGCCCTTTACCACGGTACTTAGCATTAAAAATAAAGAGATGTGGAGCTATTATTTTGGTACACAAGACTTTCCAAAAATGGAATTCAATGACATAAATGACCAGCTTGCCAGCTAATTGTTAAAATTTCCAAAACATAAACATCAATCAAGCTCTTATTCCAACCACAAAGTATTTACATGAGGAATGAGATCCTCTGCAAGAAGAATTAAATCAAGAGCTTGCGAGAGACTTTCCCATAGTTTGGAATGGTGCACAAAAAAAGACAAGAAGCCCTTATGTAGATAATAAAAAACATATTTTCCAAGCAAGGAAAATATTATTAGCATGGCTATTGTTTAGTCAGTAGTGATGAGTCCATAAAAACAATCTTTTTGGGACTAAACTGCAGGCCATGACCAGAGGATATATGTCTTATATTGCTATTATTTTTAAGGTAAGATGTCCTTCAGATCAAGAGCCACAGAACTTGCTCAGTAAAACTAAAACACAAAAGACGTTAACTTGGACATCTAGCAAACTCAAACCAAAATTAACACAATTGAGTGACATCCCTAAAATATTAAATGTAAGACCAACTGCAAAAAGCCATAGTGGTGAAAATGCATTATATTAACTGACTGCACCATCTACAAGACAAAGTAAATTCTGCCTGGCAGGAAATGGAATGAAATCAGAGAAAATTAGGAATAACCTGAAGTGACAAGGCAGCGTATACAGAAAAGGATAACAGAAAAGGCTTTATACATCAGACATAATACAAAGTTTTGTTACTGGTGAAAATGCAACAATGTTATTATGCAGAACAACAAGATATACACCACTGAATTTGTCTGAAATTTACAGCATGGCCTAGTTTGAAACCATTTGTTGATAATCAGTCCCATTCCTACTGAACCAGCTGAAAAGGCCCAACAAGGAAAATAAAAAGCACATATACACAAAAAGTAATCAGTACAAGTCTGTGAAGAGCTTAAATGAAGTAAAAATAAAACAGATTTTGCAATCAAAAATGTTTGGGGAATTTTCTATTTTAATGTGAAATAAACTTTTCAGCAAGAAAGTTGTTGGACTGGGTTGTAAGAATACACATGATGAAAAGACACAAAAATTGATCCCAGTTTCAACCCTCACATTCCACTTAACAGCAGGGAACAACATAATATATTATATTCTAAAATATATAGAAGTAGCGCTATTTTTTAGTCTAGCGTGGACATTGTTTTTAATAAGAAAGAAGACAATTACCAAAAAAAAATTCCTGTTGTCACAATATGGTTCTGGGTTCTATATAGGCCCTGGTGTATTTGTTTCAAGAACGCATTCAGCCATAGGAACTATCACCAGTTAATTGATCAAACAGGTTTCTGGAGTTGAATAGTAGAAATATCTTGTAGACTGTTTATTTTTACTGGTTTTAAGATAAAGAGAATAGGTGCTTACAGCACAGAAAGAGAGAGATGAGGAGAATTGTGAGAGCAGAAATAAATACAGCTCTGGGACGTACAACTGAGACAAAAAGCTAGGACCAAATAAAGGATACGAACTCTCATGTGATAACAAGGACCAAACCCAAGAAAACAGAATAGAAAGACTTAAAAGGAAAAGATGTGTTCAAAGCTGTCAAAACGCCCAATCCATATTTGGAAAGAAGAAACAAAAGATGGGTTGACAATCCAAAACAAAAGAGGCTTTTCTCACTGGACAATGACATCTAAGCCTACAATAAAATATTAAGAAACGGAGGCGAACAGCTGATCTTTTGAGGATCTTTTAGAATTTACTGTATTTATGAAAATACTGGCAGTGATGACAATTTATGCCATAGTGAACATTAAGACTCAAAAATCAGAAAAGCTGCATATAACTGTAGATTATTTCATATATAAAATATATATGCTTTTATATGTATTTATATGCTTTTCATATTTAATATGCAATTTTTGTTTCATTCCAGCCCAAAATAACAACAACACTGGTGGGACACAGACAACAAACAAAAATACTTCTCAGAGCAACAAATATCAAACATTCACTGCTTTGTTTGTGGAAGTCAACCACTCCAATTAATTAAATACATGGATACAAATCTGAATAGTAAACGAGACTACCTTGCTCTAAGCTTGCCGGGGGGAATGAGTTTCAAGTATTTTTACGTGCACCTTTGCCCTTCAATACACTTTCCTTTTACTACAACACTGCTTGAACACACCTGAAATTGTGTTAAAAATAACAGTTGTGAAAACCACACAGATACTGTATTACTGAATCATCTCCCATCAAGATCAAGCCAGAACTGAACATCGAGAGCACAAACACACCATGCTTCTGCAGCTGTAGCACGATCTAACAGCATGCAATGCTGCACACCACAATCCAGTCCAAACCTCCCCTGCAGCCAGTAGCTTAAAAGCAATACTTAATATCATCGGTGACCAGTATTAAGGAGGCTATACATTCTGGAATTACAAGTTATCAATGTTACTGTGGTATTCACAGCACTCCCATTAGCTCATGTTGAGAATATCAAGCACTATCAGCAACGCTGACTATCTGCAAAAGGCGAAGAAAAGGTTTTACAATCACAGCAT